TTTATTTCATTGTTTACTGCGGACACACTTCTGCAACTCAATGCTAAACATTTATTTCTCCAGCCCTCCTTCAGCAGCCTCTCAATATCAATGCTGCTCATAAGACTTCTATCTAAACAGAGGATAAGAATGAAAACAGGATCTATGCAGGCATAAAAAGGCTTCTGTTACAGAGGCTTTGCTAACTGAAGTATACTTGTAGCTCATTACTGGTGCAAAGAGGAATATAAAAAGGTGGAAGAACCACCACATCTAAAGCTCTGCCAGGCTTCCTGCTGCAAGAAAGGAAGGGAGGAGGCTTATGATTTTTTCCTCTTCCCCTTTTTTATTTCAACCATCCTCATGGTTTACATTTCTTCTCTGTGCTGCATATTGTCTCAGGATCAGAAGAGTTTTATTACAAACATACTAACACTGAAAATCATTCCCCTTTTGCCTATCAAACCTGGAGCTTTGGCACTGGGGAAGCCACAGCCTTGGAGGTTCTGTTGTGGCTGCAAGGCTGCATCCGAATAGATGCTCCTTGTTTAAGAAAAAAAAAAAGACTGTCTGAATATCCCTTGTGAAAACTGCTTGGAAACAAAACTATTTCTTATTTTGGATTTTTTTTTTTAGTATTTTTGAAAAATTGCATACACACAATGAGACATCTTGGTGATGGGATTCAAACTTGAAATTCATTTATGTTTCATATGTATATCTTATACACATAACCTGAAGGTAATTTTATACACAATATTGGTAATAATTTTCAACATGAAGTGTATATCAAACTGTCATAAAGACAAAAGTGTAACTATCGCAGCTATCCATGTGGACAATTTTGGATTTTGTAATATTTTGGATTTTGTAATTCCAGATAAAGGATACTCATTTTGTAATGTCTAAGATGCTAGATTTCATTTCCAACAAGGATTAGTTTGAGATATGCAAATGTCAGAGAAGTAGATTCCGAGGACATTTGCTAGTATATTCGAATGAACACTTACATGCTCTAGGTATATATAATGATTCAAAATAATACAAAACAAATAAGAACAATCACTTTATGTATTCAGGCACACATCTGTTTAGATCAAAGCAAAGGATAGCATCACTCTAAGTACTTGATATAAACTAGTTGTCTTCAATAGCCTTCAATAGTGATGCTTCAATAGTCTCGTTGCACTTCCAATGCGAAGGACAGGAAACACAATATTAGAAATATGTAATAAAACAGTGCCTCTGTCTCCATTTGGCAAATCTCAAATAAAACCTGAGCAGTTTAAAATAAAGGACACAATCTTTTCAAGTGCTTCAAATTATTTGACTTTATCAGTATTGCAATAAAATTGGTTTAACAGCTAAGGCTGATGCCGAGGCATTGCATGTACTCTATATACACATAATGAAGATTCTTCCATTTTAAGAGAGCTGACCTTAATAAAAATATGAACTACAATAGCGAGGGATTCGGAGTCCCAAATGACTTAAAAGTGATTCAAAGAGAGAAGAGACCAGCAGCTCCAATAACTGCTAGGATGCTTTCAGCCTGCAAGGATTACTCCCAACACAACTTAAAAATAGGCCAAGCCTCATTTCTAAATTGTGTACTCAATCACATAGACTCCTGCATACATTGTCCTATATATAAGACACCATAACACCCTGTGCTCTCAAGCCCAATGTCAGGAATGCTGTTGGTAGTTGTTCTTAACTTCAAACATGGGTGAAAGAAAGCTTAATTTCACATAGACAGATACTTACATATGCTTTACAGAGATGCTTACAGATCACCAATAACTCCTACCTAGATAAGTTATCAATATATCTTTTGATAAGTTTCAGGATCTCTAGTATAATTTTTTCAATCCCAGGCATCTAAAATTAGAATCTCCCAAAATAGCTACATCTGCTGTCATGCTTCACATAAAAAACCCTTAAGACTCACACTCCACAACATGACTGTCACTTATGGAGACTCAACAAGGGAACTGCCAAATAGCAGACCAGCCCTGGCCCAGGTCCTTGTAAAACATAATTGCTCAAAGGTGTTGACAGAGCTGAAGTCTCAAAGCAAACTTTGAACAACAAAAACCCAATCAGAAGGCAGATGGTGATTCAAGCCTATGCAGCTGTCAAAACCACAGGAGAAACCCTAAAAGCACCTAACTTTGGCCAGGTCTCTCTATCTGTCCCAAGTATGTAGAATGGCCAAACTGTTTTCATATATCCACACCTACCAGTAAGAAGATCCCACCTTTCTACTTTGGCATATTTTGATTTAAGAAAGATATAACTTCTGGTTGAGAAAAGGAAACCAACTTCCTCTTTTAGCCCTGTCCTCATTCGCCTCACAGTCCTCTCACCCCTGTATTTACTAGGGAGGAAAAGGGAACAAGGCACAACATGCCTTGAGCAGGAAGACCACCCCAAACAGGAAGGCCAGTCCTGACACTATTTGCAAGAGCTGGACTTAACCCACAGCACAGGGACACATTAAGGTTCTTCCTAATAGGTATAAAGAACATTTCCCTGCATAGCCTCTTATTTACACTTTTTTTTTTTGGTCGTATCAGGAGCAACCGCTCCTGTTGTGAGAGAATTGGCCGTCTGCAAGGACGTTGCCCAGGGGACGCCTGGATGATTTTTGATGTTTTATCATCCTTGTGGGAGCCTTCTCTCATGTCCCCGCATGAGGAGCTGCACCTAATAGAGGGAGCTCATCCGCCTCTTTCCCGGATTCGAACCTGCGACCTGTCGGTCTTCAGTCCTGCCGGCACAGTGCTGTAACCCACTGCGCCACCGGGGGCTCCTTTATTTACACTAAAAGAAGCACTTCAGATCCAACTCTTTTCCAGGCATATAATGTACATTTCCCTGCAAAGCCTCTTATTTACACTAAAGGACGTACAAGCTCCAGATCCAACACTTTCCAGGCAGATAATATACATTTCTCTGAAAACCAAAGGAAGTACAAGCTCCAGACCCCTCCATGCAGATAATGTACTTTCCCCTTCAAACTAAAGGCAGTACAAGCTCCAGAAACAACTATTTCCTTGCAAAGCCTCTTATCTACACTAAAGGACATACAAGTTCCAGATCCAAAACTTTCTAGGCAGATAATACACATTTTCTGCAAACTAAAGGAAGTACAAGTTCCAGAAACAACTCTTTCCAGGTAGATAATGTGCATTTCCCTTCAAAGCCTCTTATTTACACTAAAGGACACACAAGCTCCAGATCCAATGCTTTCCAAGCATATAATATACATTTCCTTACAAACGAAAGGAAACACAAGCTCCAGAAACAACTCTTTCTAGGCACATAATGTACATTTCCATGCAAAGCCTCTTATTTACACTAAAGGAAGAACACACTCCAGATCCAACCCTTTCCAGGCAGATAATGTACATTTCCTTTCAAATTAAAGGAAGTACAAGCTCCAGGAACAACCCTTTCCCTGCAAAGTCTCTTATCTACACTAAAGGAGGTATAAGCTCCAAATCTGACTCTTACCAGGCAGATAAAATACATTTACCTGTAACTAAAGAAAGTATAAGCTCCAGAAACAACTATTTCCCTACAAAGCAGTGGTTCTCAACCTGTGGGTCCCCAGGTGTTTTGGCCTACAACTCCCAGAAATCCCAGCCAGTTTACCAGCTGTTAGGATTTCTGGGAGTTGAAAGCCAAAACACCTAGGGACCCCAGGTTGAGAACCACTGCTACAAAGCCTTATTTACACTAAAGGACGTACAAGGTCCAGATCCAACTCTTACCAGGCAGATAATATGCATTTTCCTGCAAACTAAAGGAAGTAGAAGCTCCAGTTCCAACTCTTTCCAGGCAAATATACATTTTCCTGTAACTAAAGGAAGTACAAGCTCCAGATCCAACTCTTTCCAGGCAAATAATATACATTTCCCTGTAACTAATGGAAGTACAAGCTCCATATCCAACTCGTACCAGGCAGATAATATTCATTTCCCTGCAAACTAAAGGAAGTACAAGCTCCAGATCCAACTCTTTCCAACCAGATAATATACATTTCCCTGCAAACTAAAGGAAGTAGACGCTCCAGTTCCAACTCTTTCCAGGCAAATATACATTTTCCTGTAACTAAAGGAAGTACAGGCTCCAGATCCAACTCTTACCAGGCAGATAATATACATTTTCCTGTAACTAAAGGAAGTACAAGCTCCAGATCCAACTCGTACCAGGCAGATAATATTCATTTCCCTGCAAACTAAAGGAAGTAGACGCTCCAGTTCCAACTCTTTCCAGGCAAATAACCATTTTCCTGTAACTAAAGGAAGTAGAAGCTCCAGATCCAACTCTTTCCAGGCAAATAATATACATTTCCCTGTAACTAAAGGAAGTACACGCTCCAGATCCAACTCTCACCAGGCAGATAATATATATATTTCCCTGCAAACTAAAGGAAGTACAAGCTCCAGATCCAACTCTTTCCAGGCAAATAATATACATTTCCCTGAAACGAAAAGAAGGACAAGCTCCATATCCAACTCTTTCCAGGCAGATAATATATATATATTCCCTGCAAACTAAAGGAAGGACAAGCTCCAGATCCAACTCGTACCAGCCAGATAATATGCATTTCCCTGCAAACTAAAGGAAGTACAAGATCCAGATCCAACTCTTTCCAGGCAAATAATATACATTTCCCTGTAACTGAAGGAAGTACAAGCTCCAGATCCAACTCTTACCAGCCAGATAATATACATTTCCCTGCAAACTAAAGGAAGGACATGCTCCAGCTCCAACTCTTTCTAGATAATATACATTTCCCTGCAAAGCCTCTTATTGACACTAAAGAGGAAGTTCAGCCTGTTTCCATGCTGAGTTCATCCCCCTCACCCCCCAGATGCACGAGTGCTGACAGGGATGGAGAATAGCAGCCCTCTGCCCAGGGGAGGGAAGGGCCCTGGTTCGGCCCTGCCGGCTGGCCGCGCGCTCTGCCCATGCTCCGGGGCACGGCCGCCCTTCCCGGCGAGCCTCACCTGAGGCGGGCCCGCGGCGCTTCTGCTGGGGCTGGTGCCGGTCGCTCTCGTAGAAGCCCAGCGTCTCGGTCCGGCGAGGCTGCCCGGGGTCCGGCGGCGGGGGCGAGGCTGGGCCGGGGGCGGAGGAAGGGGCCGGGCGCGCGGGCGAGGGCTGCGGCGACCGAGGCTCCCCGTCGGTGGTGAAGCTGCTCCTCCGCAGGCCGGGCTCCGCCGAGAGCAGCGAGGCCTCCCGCCGGCCCCCGTCCCCGCTGCCCGGGGCGTCGGCGTCGGCGAGGCCCGCCATCTTCACGCGAGCGACTGCTACAAACTCCGCTCCGCGCTCCTCCTGTTCCTGCCGCGGCGAGGAGACGCTGCCGCCGCTCCCCCGGAGTACGTCATCGCCGCGCGACAAGGAGCGCACCAGCCGGGCCCACCTCTCCAGCGCGCGGGAGCGGCGAGCCGTCCGGGCGGCCATCTTGACAGAGGCAGCGCCGTTGCCATAGTAACGCCGCCCTCCGCCCTCTCGGGCCTTCTCGGCTTTCTCCTCCCCTCGGGTCCCTCTGCCCAGGGCGGGCGGAGGAAGCAGCCAAGCCCGGCCTTCTCTGGCGACGCTTCTTCTGCCTCTTTGGACAGCTTGTCTTGCCTTCTCCCGTCTCCGTCTTTCCCATTGCTTTTGTCACGCAGTCGTAGAACTGGAAGCCAGAAGCATCCTCTCCAGTGACTAGGGACCTCATCACACTAGGCAGGCATTGCCAAACTTCGGCCCTCCAGGTATTTTGGACTTCAGATCCCACAATTCCTAGCAGCTGGTAAAGTGGCTGGGATTTCTGGGAGTTGAAGTCCCAAAACACCTGAAGGGTCGAAGTTTCCCCATGGAGAAACCAAAACAAAATACATTTACAAAAGGGAAACTGCGGCAGGCCTTTTGGTCATTCCTCTTTACTGTAGGACAGACACCAAGGCCCCTTCCACACAGCTGTATCAAATCTACAGTGAACTGGATTGTGTGGCAATGTGGACCAGGCATGTAGCCGGGGGTGGGGGCGCTTGGGGGGCTTCAGCCCCCCCCCCCGAAATTCTCATGGTGGTTCGCGAAAAGGCCTTTTTAACTGTTTTGTTTATTCATATCATGATCTGATCACCATACTCAATATATCCCATATGCATGGGGGTATTGGGGTAATGATACAAAAGGTTTGCTAGGATAGACTCAGACTCAGCCCCCCCCCCCCCGAAAAAAACTTAGCCCCCCCCCCCCCCCGCATCGAAATCCTGGCTACGGGCCTGATGTGGACTCAGGTTGTGGATTATTTGCCTTGATATTCTGGGTTAGATGGCTGTGTGAAATGGCCCCAAGATAGCATGTTAATTTTATTTTTAACACAAAAAAATCCTAAAATGAATATTGATTCAGAATGTTTGTCCTATTTGTTTGTCGTGTCAGGGCAACCAGTCAATTGTATTACATTTCTAACAACAAAACCAACAAACAGTGAAAATACAGAATGTGTGAGTTTGGTGGTTGATTAAATGTCCTTTGACCAGTATCTGGCCACTTGGAGTGCTTCTGGTGTTGCTGCAAGAAGGTCCTCCATTGTGCATGTGGCAGGGCTCAGGTTGCATTGCAGCAGGTGGTCAGTGGTTTGCTCTTCTCCACACTCGCATGTCGTGGATTCCACTTTGTAGCCCCATTTCTGAAGGTTGGCTCTGCATCTCGTGGTGCCAGAGCGCAGTCTGTTCAGCGCCTTCCAAGTCTCCCAGTCTTCTGTGTGCCCAGGGGGGAGTCTCTCATTTGAGTCAGTCAGTCAGTGATTTATTACGGTCTTTGACCAGCACAGTACAGAATGGGGCATCGGTGCCCAAGGAAGGGAATCGCAGTTCCCAAGTAGATCAGATATAAAAACAGATTAAAAGCAGATTAAAAACACGTTATATAAGACAAATTAAAAAGATAAAACAGATTAAACTTACAGTTTAAAGTGCATGTATGAATCTAAAATAGGGGGTGGCTAATAACAAATATTAGACGACTGGGAAGCTATAAAAGGGATGAGAGGGGAGCATTTACAGCATTTCAGTTATTACAAATCATCTATATATATAAATCTGTAGGGGGCGTCGTACGGCGTCGCATAACTCCACAACCCCCCAACGAAACTGAACCAAAATTCCCATGCCCCTAGGACAACCCACTCGCTACAAACTAATCTACTCCAAAGTAAAGAAAACACAACTGCAACGACGAAAACACCACAAAACAACTGAACATGCGCACTGGCGCAAACCCCCGGCACGCGCGCACCCGCCGCCCCTCGCCCCCCCCGGCGGCACACACGCGCGCGCGGCGGAAACTCCCCGCCACGCGCACACCCGCCGCCCCCCCCCCCCCCGCGGCACACGCGCGCGCGTCGGAAACTCCCCGCCACGCGCGCACCCGCCGCCCCTGCCCCCCCCGCGGCACACACGCGCGCGCGGCGCAAACTCCCCGCCACGCGCGCACTTGCCGCCCCCCCCCCCCCCGCGGCATTACCGTTGAAAGGGACAGTCCAGAAGAAATGAGAGAAGAAGGGAAAGAGAAGGAATGAAGGAGCCAAAGGGGGAAGGAAGGAGAAAAGGAAATAAAATTAAAGGAAACAGAAGGAAGGAGAGAAAGACAGAGGGAGGGAGGGAGGGAAGGAAGGAAGGAAGGAAGGAAGGAAGGAAAGAGGGAACGAGGGAAAGGCCGACGGCGGGCCAGGAGGGGCCCGGCTCCGCCTCTGCCGCCTCCTCCTCTCCAGGAAGACCCGGGAATCCCCCCCTCTTACCGTCGTCGCTGCGCCTGACGTCACCGGCCCTGCAGGTGGGTTCTGGGAGAGGCGTGCCACTCCGCAGAGACACGGCCGGCAGAAACAGAACGAAGGGAGGAATGAGGGAGGGAGGGAGGACGAGAAGGAAGGAAGGAAGGAAGGAAGGAAGGAAGGAAGGAAGGAGAAGGAGGAGGAGAAGGAAGGAAGGAAAGAAGGAAAGACAGAAGACATAAAGGAAGGAAGGAAACAAAAAAGGAAGGAAGGGAAGCAGAAAGGGAAGACTGAAATGGGCCACAGCAACGCGTGGCAGGGTACAGCTAGTTCTAACTATATTCCTGGCAGGAAGTTGCCTGGTGGAGTCTGTCATCAGCTGTCTAATGTTAATTGCTGCTGCACAGAACTTGGCAACACTGTAGGTTGTCGCAGAGCAAGAGTCCGAGAGCAACAGGGAGGTGTAATATCTTTCAGTGCGCCCTGGATGTTTTAAAAGCCATGGGGCGATGAAATTAGCTCTAATGTCTCTATAGAACACACATTGGAGGAGCACATGTTCAGTTGTTTCGATGTAGCCAGACTCACACGGGCATAGTCTCTCCTGGGCAGGGGTCTTCCGGTACCTCCCCTCCAGTACTGCCGATGGAAGGGCATGGCATCTTGCCAAAGTGAAAGCTCTTCGGTGTTTAGGCACCTCCAGGTTTGCTAAGTAAGGCATGGGAGCGATGAGATATCTGCTATCTTCGCTAATGGTGAATGCTGGAGAGCAGGCTAAGTCTGATTGTCGCTCTATATCCAGGATCCGTTGTCTAATAAGAGCCTTGGCTTGGTCCCATCCCATACCTAGCAGTTGTCCTTGAGAGAAGCCTAGAGTTGCAATTTTGATTGCCACTGCCTTATTCCATGTAGACTGAAATTCATCTCTCAGAGTTAATGGAGCAAGGCCACATGTTGAGAAAGACAGATGCAGCCAATAATTGAGGGTGGCTGTCCACACTCTCGCCTCCACTCTCACAAGGCCTGTCTCTAATCGCAGGGTGGCGTTTGAGACACATCTGGGGACCTGCATCGCCGATCTTAGAAATTTTGATTGTACTTGCTCCAGAGGGGCATAGTTTGTGAAGGGACCAAGTTGGGCTCCATACATCATTTGTGCTATGGATTTTGCCTCAAAGAGCTTAAGTGCAAGTCTTCTGTGTGCCCAGGGAGGAGTCTCTCATCTGGTATCACCCATGGATTGAGGTTCTGGGTTTGAGCCTGCCACTTTTGGACTCTCGCTTGTTGAGGTGTTCCAGCGAGTGTCTCTGTAGATCTTAGAAAACTATTTCTTGATTTAAGTCGTTGACGTGCTGGCTGATACCCAAACAGGGGATGAGCTGGAGATGTCACTGCCTTGGTCCTTTCACTATTGGCTGCTACTTCCCGGTGGATGTCTGGTGGTGCAATGTAATTTCTCCAGTGGTGTAGGGTGCAGACACCCCGTGATAATGCGGCATGTCTCATTAAGAGCCACATCTACTGTTTTAGTGTGGTGAGATGTGTTCCACACTGGCATGCGTACTCAGCAGCAGAGTAGCATAGCGCAAGGGCAGATGTCTTCACTGTGTCTTCAATATTTGTCCTAAACTTTATGTAATAATTTCTGTCACCATACAAAAACGCACACCAGGACCGTTGTCCAGTCTCCTGTCTGCTGCTGATCTGTGATTGGGTTTACTTTAGAGCAAGTGTACAAATAAATTAAAACTCACTTTCTCCCAGATTAATGGACACGAAGGCCCCTTCCACGCAGTTGTATAAAATACACATTGAACTGAGTTATATGGTAGTGTGGACTCAGAAAACCCAGTTCAAAGAAGATATTGTGGATTGTCTGCCTTGATATTTTGGGTTATATGACTTCTTGGAAGAGCCCTAAAAATATCAGAACAATTTCCAAATTACAGAATTAGGAGACCCATCTAGTGCAGGGTTTCTTAAAACATTTTCCACTTGCAGCAACTCAATATTTTTTATGTGGACCCAGGTATATAAGTATATAAAATAGATATAAAGCTATACCATTTACTGATAATAAATCATTACTTGCAAGGTTTGCTGAACAGACTAATTTTCATTTTTGTGGAGTATGGCTGTAGCATTTTCTGCACAGTAAACACTGCATGTTGTTGCTAACAGAGTCATTTAAATGGGGGAAGCCCAGGAACTTAACTGTTGCCCAATGTTTGGGACCTCAGCATTGAGCTAAGAGGACCCCGTTTGGGGTCAGGAAGATGTTGCGATCTAGTGCAACTGCCTCCCCAGTTAGTGCATGAACCCACGCTAAGGAACCTCAATAGATGTAATCCCTGTTTACAAAAATTGTTCCTCCATCAAACAGTTGTCATGACTAAGAAATTATTCCTAAGATTTAGATGGGATCTCCTTTCTTGTAATTGGAACAATTTCTTCTGGATCCTATGCTTTGAAGTTTCAGAAAATAAACTCAGTTCTTCCTATACAGGCAGTCCCCAAGTTACAAACAAAATAGGTTTTATAGATTTGTTCTTATGCTGAATTTGTGTGTAAGTTGGAAAAAATACTTTTTAGTGTAACTCCAGCTAAAATAGATATCATAGGGAAGGGTTGTGAAAACAAGAATTAGTGATAACGCTGCAGTGGAGATGCCTTTTCCCCATGATAATTCTTTCAAGAATTAATTTCCCTTCTG